GCGGCTGGGCCGTGAGCACGCTGGCGTAGAGGCAGCGCCGGGCCGTGGGGATGATCTGGCCACCCCCGCGATGGATGGCGTCGGCGTGCAGCGTCACGTCGTGGACGTCGAAGCGCACACCGCGCATGTTCTCCTCGCACAGAGCGCCCTGCAGAGGGCCCGAGGCCGTCAGAGGCCGTCAGAGGCCGCGGCCCACCCCGTCCCACCAGCCCCGGCCCGCACCTCCTTGGTGGCCCACTGGAAGCCGGCCACCACGCTGTCCTTGATCTCGTTGAGGTACTGCACGCCCTTGGTGATGTCGGTGAGGATGTTGGGGCCGGTGCCGTCGGGCCCGAAGCACCAGATCTTGCGGGCCTCGGCCACGTCCCACTCGTACTTCTCGGCCAGGTAGCGAGCCCGCTGCTTGAGCTCCTGGCGCGCAGACACCTCGCCCTTGTCGATGTCCTCGGCCAGGCCGTCGGGGAAGGGCCGCGCCTTCATGTACAGCCGGTTGTGCTTGTTGGGGGACTTGGACAGGCACAGCACGTTGGACTCCTCGCTGACGGTCTCGCGGTACGAGACAACAGGGTCGGATTTCTGCAGAGGCAAGAGCGGGACGGCCGGTGACGTCTACGGCAGGCCCTCCCCTGGAGGCTGCACACGCCTCAGAGCCAGTGGCCTTGGAGCCTGCGAGGGATGTCCCCTCCGAGTCCTCCCTGGGACACCGTCGGCAAGCACAGAGAGCAGGCCTGGCCTGGCCCTGCCTCAGCCCTGCCCTGTAAGTCAAGGACAGAAAGGCCCCCAACCTTCACCAACAGACCGAGCCCACCTGCACGCAGCAGCATGCACCGGCTCCCGGGCCGTGGGACCCTCCCTCACCTTGATGGGGATGCAGGCGTGGTCCTCCTCCAAGTCCTTCAGGCAGATCTCCAGGTGCAGCTCGCCGGCCCCCGCGATGATGTGCTCGCCGGACTCCTCAATGATGCACTGTGGGGGGCGGGCCCAGCATCAGCCCTGCCCTGGCCCCGCCCCGATGCCCACACAGCTGGAGAGGTGCTGGGACCGGGCTAGCCAAGGCCAAAGGCCGGAGGAGCCTCCCGTGGGGCCAGAGCAGGCACCGCGCCCTGCAGGCCGCGGCACATGGGGGAACTCGGGAAGCCGCAGGGCCCAGCAGGCGCTCTACGTGAGGTCACCGACTGCCTTCGGACGCCCGGCCTGGTCACAGCTCGGAGCAGAGAACCCCAGCCCCGGCGGGCGGACGGCGTGCCGAGGCACCCACCTGCACCATGGGGTCGGACTTGGCCAGCCGCTTCAGCCCCTCCACCAGCTTGGGCAGGTCCGCGGGGTTCTTGGCCTCGACGGCGACCCTGACGACGGGGCTGACGCTGAACTTCATCACCCGCATGTTGTGTGCGTGCTCGAAGGTGGTGATGGTGCCGGTCTTCACCAGGAACTGGTCCACGCCCACCAGGCCCACGATGTTCCCACAAGGCACGTCCTCGATGGGCTCCACGTAGCGGCCCATCATCAGGATTGTCCTGGGGGCAGCGGGAGGGCGGTGGGCCTGCGGCTGGCGCAGACGCTGGCTCCCTCCCCCCGGGGGGCCCCGGCCCGCCCCCCCGAACAGGGGCCCCCCCAGCAATGCGGGGGGCCTGCGGCTGGCGCAGACGCTGGCTCCATCCCCCGGGGGGCCCAGGGCCAGCCCCGCAGAACTGGTCCCCGCCTAGAACAGCAGCAGCCCCTAGGCCTCCTGCTCGACCACCCGGTCCTCGGCTCGAAGCTAAGCGAGACTCCCACACGTCCCTGACTGCCGCAGCGTGCGCCCACACCGAGGGTGGCCCTGGCGTGGGTGTCTGCGGGGACCGGGGACGCGGGTGTGCACGAGTGATTCGACTGCCGGGGCCCGCACCTCTGGATGGGTTTCAGGTAGAGGTCCTCCTTCTTCCCGGGCGTGTAGTTGGGCCCCATGATCCTGACCTTCAGGCCCGTGGACACCAGCCCCGAGAACACACGTCCGAAGGCGTAAAACCGACCCTTGTCGGAGGTTGGCACCATCTTAGAAATGTACATCATGAGGGGCCCTTTGGGGTCACAGCTTTTAATGCCTGAGGAGACAGGGCATGGGGCAGGCGGTCACTCCCGCAGCTCGGCCACACCCGGCAGGGCACGGCGAGGCCCCCACCGGCCCACACACACCCATGGCAGAATCGTCGTCCGGGGGGCCCTCGTAGAGCAGCTCGCAGCGGTACTTCTGGGCGGTCACAGGGGACGGCAGGTGGATGGTGATCATCTGCAGCAGCGCATCCCCAGCGGGCAGCCAGCGGCGCATCACAGCCTGCGGGAGCCGCGGGGCTCAGCTGTGGCCGGGCCGGGCAGGTGCTCCCTGCCCTCCCCTCCCGCAGCAGCCATTCTGCCAACAGCCCCGGGCCGCGGCTGGCCTGTCCCAGCAGTGGGGGACCGGAGCCCTGTCCAGGGAGCCCGAGGCTCACCTTCAGCAGCGGCTTGCCTTCCTTGTCCTTGTCCTCGCTGTCCAGCTTGATGTCCAGCTTCTCGATCAGCTTGGCCGTCTCCTCTTTCTTGAAGTTCATGATGGCATCGAAGACCTGGGCACGTGGAGGAAGGACGGGTTCAATGGGCTTCAGGCTGCGCTGCCCCTCTGGGCGGACCCCTCCACGGGGTAGGACACCTCGGGAAGGAGCAGACCCGAGAACAGGGCCCCATGCCTCGGAGACGAGCCTCCGGCACACCTGCCTGTCCCCGAGACCCACCCTACGCCTTGTCGGGGGCCTGCCTCAGGAGCAGAGCTGCTGAGCGCAGGGGGACGGCCCTCGAGCCCGCCAGCCCAGTCTCACCTTAAAGATGGGGTCGAGGATGAGCTGGCAGAAGGTGCGGGGCAGCTTCTTCCCGTCGGGGCTGGTGGCCGACTTGCTGAACTTGCCAGTGGCTGGGTCGAAGTACCTGCCCGGGAGAGCCGGCCCACCCAGGTCAGGTGACGCGGGTGGGCGCCAGCAGCGCCCCAGGCACCCGGACACCGCCGCCCCGCGCCGGGCTCACCGGTCGCCCCAGAGCTTCTTCATCATGTCCTCCACCTTCTTGGCCCGCTCGGCAGGCCCCAGCTGGCCCTCGCCCTTGGCGGCGAACTTGGCCACGTACATCTCTGCGAACTGCTTCAGCGTGAAGGCCCAGCCATGGAGGCCAGACCCGAAGCCCACGGTGCCCAGGACGGGGTCGATCTGTGTGGGAAGGGCCGTGAGTGAAGGGGGCTTGGGCCAATCACGCGGCCGCCACCCCCTGGCAACGCGGCCTCAGACGCTGGGTTTCTTCAATAGACGTCAGGTCAAAGTGAAGAGATTGCCATCATAGGCGGGCGCCTTCCCCCCCTCCCCCCTCCCGCCGCGCCGCCCAGGCCCTGCCCGCGCACCATGATGTTGCCCATGGGGCCGCCCTCGCCCTCGCCGTAGGTGGAGATGATGACGTTGACGTTCTCCACGATGCGCTGGAAGGTCTGGTACAGCTCCTCGGGCTCCAGCTGCAGCTCCAGCAGGGCGCGGTCCATCTTGTTCATCATCAGCACGGGCTTGATGCGCTCGGCGATGGCCTGCCGCAGCACCACGCAGTCCACCACCACCAGGGCGCCGTCGGTGACGCGCAGGGCGGCTGTGACCTCCGAGGAGAAGTCCACGTGGCCGGGGGAGTCGATGAGGTTGATGAGGAAGCCTGAGCCGTCCTTGCTCTGCTTGATAAAGTTCAGGTCGTTCTCTGAGAGCTCGTAGAAGAGGGAGATGGCGCTGCAGAGACACGGCAGGTCAGCTGGGCCTGGGCCCTGCCCCACAGCACTTCGATCCCAGAGGCGGGCACCGGGTCATCCGACACCGGGTCATCGGCCACCTGGCTGGGCCCTGCCCTCCTGGGTTACTCCCAGGATCGTCCGGGTTCCCCTGGGGAGTCTACACACTCTCAGCTCAGGGGGCCCTTCCCCCGGTCCCCAGGACGGGGTCCTCCTGGCCTGCCCGAGAACCCGCTGCAAACCTCACACCTGACTTGACACAGCAGCCCAGCAGCCAGACAAGACCTCCAACTCTGGGCGAGCCGGACTGAAGGGCGGCTCGCCAACGACCTGTCACCTGCCGAGCTAACGGCAAGCGACGGTCACGGTGGCTTTCACGGTGTCCACGTCTCCACCCGGAGTCTCGAAACCGGCAAAGCAGCACACTGACGCCTTGATGCCGGCGACAGCCCCGTCCCTCGGGGTTACCGGCCCCCGCCCGCGGCCCGCGCTCACGTGGACTTGATGGTGATGCAGCGCTCCTGCTCGTCTTTCCGGGTGTCAGTGAAGCGCGTCTCGCCGGCCCGGGCGGAGGCGATGATTCCGGCCTTGCACACCAGGGAGTCCGTCAGCGTGGACTTGCCGTGGTCCACGTGGGCGATGACGGACATGTTGCGGATGTTGGCCTTCTTGTCCATGATGGCCCGGATCTGGTCTACGGTGAAGTTCACCTGGGAGGACGGGAGGCTCAGGCCGCCGCATTCCAGGAACCTCCTGGCACCCACAGCTGGTCGAGGCCGGCGCCAGGCCCTGGCGCATCCCCCAGCCCATCCAACGGGGCCTGCCCCTCCCACATCCCCGACTCCAGCCGGCACTTAGGACGGTGACAACCTGAGCCTGGGAGGACATGGGTCCCCAGGGGGAAACAGGGCTGCCCGGAGGCCCACTAGGACATGAGGGGACAGAACAACTCAACACAGAAGGCGGGAGGCAGGACACGTCCCCCCAATCCAAAAAGCATCCGTGCAGCCCAAGGTCACCCCATCCTGGGCCCCGGCCGAGATCCGAACGTGCCCCTGCGGCCCTGCAGGCCCAAGCCGACTGCTCGTGGCTCTCCGCTGCTCCTCCGGGCTCCGACGCACCGGGAGGACAGGGTCAGGACGGTGCGCAGCACGGGAAGACCGGGTCCGAGGCCGAGGGGGTCCCGGCCGGCACGGGATCGCACCCCAGCCCTCGGCCGCAGCTTACATAAGGCGCCCCCGTCTCCCGTGCACCGCCGTGCTCGCCATCACCGCGTCTGCCACATCATCAGACCCCAACCCCGGCCTGGTGCCCCGTAAGGCCGCGGCACCCCCAGAACAGGAGAAAGAGCTCGGCTAAGAGCGCAGCGAGCAGTCATGGCGGCGGCCGCTTTCCTAGCC